AACAGATTTAAAATCACTCTTATTATGTGTCACTCATAAATGCAAATTTGAGATGTTATATACTAGGGTCTGATTTTGTCAATGTATGTCAAAGTATGGTGCGCATTTTCTGTCACATGTATTAAGTGATAATTCTAATTCTAATATTGATTATGTGCAAGAATAATTGGCTGAACATTGTAAATCTTTTGTATTTTTTTAATGTAGTTTCAGATAATTTCTACATGTTATTTTTGTTTTCATTGGCAGTTTTTCACCTGATTGAATAAAGGAATTACTACTGTAAAACTCTTCTATTCGTCATGTTAGCTGTCTGCAACCCTACCTAGAGGCAGCACATAATACATATATGCAAAAACATGATAAGGATTTCTTTATATGTACGTACAATATTGTCGTTGAAACCAAAAATTTCAACTTTTCTTTTAAAAGTAAGGGTAAAAAGAATACCACATTTTAATATCATGCTAAAAACGTTAAGAAATTCTTAGGTAGAAAGTGAGAGTGATGACGGGTCTTTCTTAACTCTGAAGTTGTAAACTCTTTCAATTAGGGTATATTATGATTATTCATGATTTCTGTGCTCGAGGTCCTTGATTACTTGTATCCTCATCAATGAAGCAGTTTGTATATTTTGTGATGTATGTCTGAGAGATTGTTGGTAGGAGTACAGAGCAGCTTGATGGTTCCCTGTCACCTGTTGACAGATCCCTAGAATCTGCCAGGAGATGTCTCTTTTATTCATTTGAATGTACATCCCCTGATCATGGTGGACCAGGTCCTGTAGTTCTTTAAGAGCTGTTTGTGCTCTCATTGGGTCTACATGTCTGTAACACAAGACCTCTAACATGTGTAACATAACATACAGTGGTATAGACAATACTGGGTATCCAGATTGTGACCCAGACTGTTGTTCTGGCATTAATTCATTCATGTAATAGACTGTATCGTAAATAGAAATGTCCCATGCTACAGCATATCTTATCTTTGAAGACCAGGACTGTCCCCCTAAGGACTCATGAAACATGTACCTCACTGCATTTATGGGTATATTTGTGACATTGATTACATATGGCTGTGCTAACTTGACCTTTGTCATTTCTATGACTGATAGGGCTTCTTTATATCTAAGTGTCTTGTAGTAAAACATTGCAATAAACAGCATATCAGAAATACACCCAAACTTGGCGGCTAATTTCAGCATATGACTGTATGTTTTATTAGTCATATACGCCTGTTTGTTCACAGCTGAGGTAGTATATAACTTGCATTGTGCAAAAACAGTATTCTGGAGTACATGTGATGTAAACCTCCGTAATATGAGAACCTGGTTCTGGGTCAGAGGTAAAATTATCAACTTTTCTACAGCATTTAAGAACCTAATGCATGATTGCGATTATCTACTGGTAGATCAGAGAGATACAACTCACGAAATAGATTTAAATCAAACAAAACCCTGTTTATCAGCATATTTTTGTCCTTATTAAAGGGTTGTCTGGGATTTTGAAGGACACTGTTAAGACAAGACCTGATCGATTGACAATGAAGTAGTGTTACTATACCCTTCTCATACAATTTATGCAGCCAAAGAAATTTTTTTTTTGTGCTTCACCATGGATATTACTCAGAAACATGTTGTTTTCTGGAACAAAGAAGTTGGGACATACCCCCTCATACACCCATTTAAGGATGAGTTTAAAACAGACCCAGAAACAATGAAGAAGATTTTGAGGACACCATTGAGCGATCATGTTTTGTTGTATCACCCAGAAAACTGATGTCTTCATGTAATAGGAACACAATAATTTTTCCTCGATAGTTAATTCCTTCTTGAAATCTTTTAAAAACAATTTAAGCAGCCCATAGGTCAAGAATTGGCAATGGTTCATTGAATATATAAGTTTTTGTTCTGCTAAAGAGAAGGAAATTCTCCATTCTTTGTCTGCATGTTTTCCGAGCTTGTGTCCTATTGCAACAAAGTGGCATCCATTTCTGAGTATCTCATCAACAATATAAGAATGGGGCCACGAGTGACATCTGTCTATCCATTTTGAGGCAGGAAGAGGCCAAAAATCACAGACAAAACATAGGGCAGTGTCATACTCTGCTCCCGCTATTACACCATTACCACACGGACCATGCTCCTTAAAATTAGGTATAACTTCTGAACATGTGATTTGTCTGTATTTGGAACTGGATATGTAGAGTCTGTCGTTTATTCTCATACATGCATTCTTTACACATTCACTGTGTGTTGGTGTCAGTAGTTCAAGTAAACCAAATCCTGGTGGGCTTTCAGAAAAATCACAGAGAATCAGTGTTTTTCTACTTAAGTCGTATTTCTGAGCCTTGTTTAAGTCCAATATAACGATGTGGTCATTTGGCCAAAACATTGTGTCCACATCTGATTTCTCTAGCCGGAGTCCTTCTTTCATACTCCCACTCATCATCATCCTGTCTGCTTCTCTTGTTCTCATTACTTGATTTATCATCATTTCCCTGAAGTCTGCCACTTCTCTCCTCATGATCACCATCTCTGAGGACCCCAGTATGTGACACAGTTCCACAAACACAGACTCTGATAAATGCTGTATACCCAAGTCCCTGGACGAAACATTAAAAATGAGCATATGAATGGGTTTTTTTTAAATTTCACTAAAATATGAGTCCAAATTATATTGAGTTATGTAATGTTCCTAGACAAAAATCATACAGCTCATCTCATTTTTATATTTGTACAACACCTCACTAGGTTCTTTAACATCTGACTTACATAAATAGTGATTTTTAGAATATTAAGAAACATATTAGAAGTAGTCTATATTGATTATACATGCATATAGTTACGTGAATGTACAAGTTTTTTTTTTCTTACAGCCATTTGTAGGAAGACATTTTAATATTATAGTATAATATTTCCTGTTCACTTTGAAAACTATAATTAGAAGTAGAAAATCCCTATAGTACTTTCAGTTTATCGATAAAATAAAATATTTGTACAATCATCCTGCAAAAAACAAGTGCAAGACATCTATTTCATAAAGATATTAAATGAAGACATTACGTACAGTACCGACCAGACCCAACCTGACACCAAAGCAGTCCCAGAAAGCAGTCCCTGGGACTGCTGTGGGACTGCTCTGGGACCGCTTTGGGACTGCTCTGGGACCGCTATGAAAAGCAGTCCCAGCAGTCCCAGCTGCCCCTGTGACTGCTTTCTGGGACTGCTTTGTTCACTCATGTGTGACAAAGGTTCTGAGTGACATGATAGCTCCGCCCCCTTGTGTATTTTGTTTTGTTTACTTGCAGCAGAGAGGAGTTTAAACTGTTTAATAAGCAAGGATTTCTTACATTCTTTTAATAAGTAGAGATTATTATAGTTAATTGATATTTCAGGGACTGTATATTTACACAAATTAATGTGTATTTAGAATAAATTGAAAAAAATAATAAAGTTGATAAATAAGGAATTCATGTGAAAATTTTTATCCCTAAAAATAAACTACAAGTTTATGAGAAAAAATGGCTTCATGTGGGCCTTTTTTAATTATTTAATGTTAAATTATAATATGTACTCAAATTATGCATTGGTACTTTTTTAGAAATAATCATTACAGTTAGATATAAGATTTTTTTTTATTAAAAATGCTACATATTTTATAAGGACGATGCAAAAAAGAGTATTTCATGTAGCTCTCAAATAAAACCCAACAATGACCATGAAATAAAATTATGCTACTATTCTCCCGTAACATAAACTATGTGAATAATCATTGGGGAATTAATGAATTACCGGTAGCTTTTAATTAATAAACATGTTATTAAAAGAGTACAAAAAATGAAAATACCGGGAATTGTGATTTACTTCTTTTTTTTGTTTTGCTAGTGTTTACCTGGCCAATTAATGTTTATAAGATGGTATCAACACCCATTGTTTCAATCGCCTCTGGGCAGAAAAATCAATAAATGTTATTTGGGTATTTGATGTGTTACACATCATTGAACATACTGGTAAACAATGACCCTAATTTCACTTTATTTAATGCGAAAAAAATGTGATAAATAAAATGTGTATAAATTTCTTTTGGGATTAATTAATTTTGAAAATAATCTGAAGTTTCCATTCTAGTGATTAACAGATGTACAATATAACATTTACAAATTAAATTATGATTTTAAATTATAATTAAATTGACATGTCAGTAAAAATAATCATGACTGAAAAATAATACTTAGTTGGCAAAATTAACAAAGATTTTTTAAAAGCCCCAATACTTAAGAAAACTCTAACTTTAGAGTATCCCGATAGTCTAAATTGGCCATATAATGATAAGATCTATTTAAAGCTTCTTCTGGTGGAAAATATTTAATTTTAATTTTCAATATCAAAATAGACATGAGAACCAGCATCAATCACAGAAGAATTATCAATATATCCAAGAATTGTGATTAAATATTATTCAGTGTAATTCACATATTTACATATGTGTGAAGCCTTCTTCCTCCAATAAATATTATTAATAATTATTTTAATTTGTTACATGTTCTGTTCATAAATGACCTTCGTGTACATGTAAAGATTCCTGGCATACTACCCAGAATCAATTTCTACTGCCTTTTATAGTTCCATTGTTTATTGGAAATCTCATTTCTGAGTTAGCTCCGCCCATTATATTAATAAACCCCTCCCACTGGGACTGCTCTCTGGGACCGCTGGGACCGCTCTGGGACTGCTGTGGGACTGCTCTGGGACCGCTGTGGGACTGCTCTGGGACCGCTGTGGGACTGCTTTGGGATCCCAGAAAGCAGTCCCGGGGACTGCTCTGGGACTGCTTTGTGTCAGGTTGGGGCTGGTCGGTACTGTAATATCTTCACTTAATATTTGTATGAAATATTAGATGTCTTGCACTTGTTTTATTTTTATTTTCATGAGCATAGTAGTTATGTCCTTTTAAAAAAAATCTAACACATAATTACATAGTTAAGATTTATAAATAATTCATTTGCCCTCCTTCCAAAGTGCTACTCAGATAACCTGCTGTTAACAGCATACTATTAATAAAATGAGTAATTGCCTTAACATTGATTAAGGTGAACTCTGTAATCTCTAATTACTTATGGTGATCATAACCATGGCCAATCCTAGATTAGGCTTCGTTGTTCTTGATAAGAAGATTTTTCTTATATAAGAATCCCTAGGATGTAAAATTTTGATGACCATTGTGGCCTCACCCTTCTAAAATGGACCATGATTTG